CAGCTCGAGGAGCGCTGACAGCAGCAACTTTGCTTTTTCTGTCGGCGAACAGGTTTGGAAGGGCTGGGTGTTTACCCGAAAGCCAATCAAAGCCAGGTCTCTGCTCCATGGTCGAGCGAGGCTGCGGGAACATTGGGTCAGGGGTGAGAGGTGTGATGTTTGGTTTTCTTCTGGTGGAGAATGCGAGCTATTCCGGCCTGGGTTGTTTAATTTGCAGTCAAACGTGTTTCTTTATCCGGCTCCAAAGAGGCTCGGAGAAGGACCCACCCAGGGTAGTGTTTACCCTTTGTTCTTTCCCTGGGGCCAACCTTGAATCCTTATCAGCCTGTTTGGAGTAAACAGGTACTGGAGGCAGAGGAAGGGTGTGGAGGATGCTTGTGGGATTTCTCCTTCTCTCCCTCCCGCCGGCGGAGGTGTTTACCCAAGCAGACCTGTTTTGTTTCAGAGCTGAGGTTTGTTTTTTTTCCTTCTCCTCCTTTTTCTTCTCTCCCCATGTTTTACATTTGACGGACCACTCCGGAAAAGCCGAGCGGGGCCATGAGAAACAAACCCACGAGCTCAGGTCTGGAGGCCACGGGTGCTCTGCTTGGGGTCCCCCCAAGACAAGTGCATCCCCCCCAGCACCCTTCTCTCCCCATGAGCTGGGCAGGCCCAAACCAGCCCGTGTGCAGGAGCCTTTGGGGGTTGAGACCCTCACTCAGGACAGCAGCATCTGTTAGCTGCTCGCACCTGCAGCTCTTTTCATCCCTTGGTGCTGGACATGCTGGGAATCCCCAAGGAATTACAGGAGGAACGCAGGAGCCCAAGGAGGAAAGGACCCATCTGCCTGTACCCAACGAGGTCCAGCACCCACGGACACGAGTGAGCAGTCGCTCCGCGGCATCCACCCCAGCCGAGGCAGAGCCAGCCCAGGACCAGCGTTACCTGTTGCAGCATTATCGCCTGCTGCTGCTGCAGGAGGGCCTGGAGCTGGGGCGGCGAGAGGATCTGCTGCATTTGCTGCGGCGTGATCATCTGCGGGGACATCATGGCCACGGACACGGGGACCTGCGGAGAGGAAGGACATGTCACCATTCCCAGTTCCAACCCTGGAAAACACCCTCCAAATGCCAACAGCCTGCAAAAATGCCTGCCAGCCCAAGGTTCTCCTGGGGCATCCTCCATGCTCACCATCCCCGCGTCACCTTCGGAGAAGCCTGTGGCCACCATGGTGTCCTGGCATGCCAAGGCCACCGCTGGGGACATAGTGATGGCTCGGAGATGCCCTGTGGTTCAGCTGGCACTAGGATGAATCTTCCTAAACCACGAGCTCCCCGTTTTTAAATGCAACGTAGCTGGGGGAATTAGGCATCGAGGGGAGCCAGCGGCACGTGGCAGCCACCTCCAAACCACAGCTTCCTCCCCTGCTGCAAGCACAAAAAAAGGTGCCGGGTACCACTCATTCCCTCGGGGTGCCAGAGGACGCAGGGAGAAGGGAAACGCCAAGGGAAGCGGGGAAGATACCGATCACCCAAATAACTTTGCAAAGCAGAGGACAGAGGAAGAGGTTACCAGGTTTTCCACAGACACATCAAAGCTTCACCTCCAGTTGACACCAGTAACTCACCTAATTACCATGCCAAGTGGAGGGAGGGCTAAGAAAACCTGCCAACCCCTGCCTTTGGTTATCATAACACGGGTCCACACCCCCACAGCAAAGCACTGGAGAGCTGGGGAAGGTGTCGGTGATGGATCCCAGCCCCGCTGGTCCTGCCCAGGTGGAGCAATGCCGCCTTCCCAACCAATGCCTTCTCCCAGCCCTCCGCTGATCCCACCAGGCCAAAACTCTTCCCAAGGGTTACAGCTCTGCTGTAATTTAAGGACCCTTCCTGGGTGCTCACTTTTCCTAGGACAGCAGATGACCGCTGCTGGCCGGGAGCTTGGGAGCCACCAGCAGTCACCCACCTGCCCCTGTCCAGCAGCCTTTAGTCTTCGAGGGGATCCCAGGAATGGAAAATTCCTCAGCACGTGGGATGTGGCAGAGCCCAAGCCAGGCTCCCCATAAGCTAAGGACCCCACTTTGAGCCAAATTAGTCAACTTTTCACCCTCTCATGGACAAACAAAGCAACTGGCTTCAGAGCACCCACCAAAATCCAAATGAGAGCCCAGTACCTGCCAGCTCCTCCTGACCTGAGCCCCCCACAATGCCCAGACTCCCCAGCCTGGACCTGCTGCCCACCTTGGGGGCTGCCTCCCCGCTCCAACCACCCCGGTGGGACACGGAGCGGGGGCAGGACCCCGGGGGTGGCCCCGTGCAGTCCCTCCCGTCCGTGGCAGGCGTCTGGACGGGCTGGAGCGTGCTGACCTTCAAGAGAGATTGCAAAGGCTTATCTGTTTACTCAGGCATTTTGCTGGAGGGAGGTTGCAAGCAGGCTGAGTTTCATTTGTCGCCGGCGATATCCCCCCCCCAGCTGCCTTCGTCTCAGAGTTATTGATTAATTGCTGCGTGTTCACACCCAAGGGCTGCTGGGGTGCCTTCAACTGCACCCGCTTGGCCGGCCGGGGAGGAGGCGAGAGGATGCAGGAGCATCCCCAGCAAAGAACCGCAAAACCCTGCGAGGGCTCCGGCACCCGCCGACGCCTGACGGAAAGCCAGGAGAGACCCAAGCACCCCTCACGGCCCCAGCACTGGTGTTTCGGCGGTCAGGTGCTCGCAGCCAGCTGTGCAAAGCCCTCGGTGAACATCTGGGAAGGAGGGAAGCTCGCGAGGACGGCAAGACGAGAGCGAGTGGGGTGCACGCCCGCTCGCTGGGAGCTAAGCATCCTGCTAATTTCCCTTTGCCAATTCATCAGCTGGCAACGTGCTCGGAATGAGAGTCCCTAATTAATTGCTCATCCGCATCCCCCATCCGGGCGGCCTCCCCGCCCCCCACCACCGCCACCATGGCCTCTCGTACACGTTTGCTGGCATTTTCAAATCGGAGGCATCCTAATTACCGGAGAGTTATAACACCTTCCATTTCTCGCCCAGCGGACTGACACCCTGTCAAGAGCAGAGAGAATTGCCAGAGGTTTTGACAACACTAATTGCCCCTATAATCTAAAAACACAAAGGAGAGGCGATTAGTCGAGAGGGCCCCAGCTCTCGATCCGACACGAGGTTTTCACAATGTTACAAGAAAACAAAAGCGGCGCTTTTTAGAGTTTGATGGCTGCTAACAAAAGCAGAATTATATTTTCATACAACCTTTGTCTGCATTAAAGGGGGTGGGTTTTTTTTTTTTTTCCTTCCGTGCTCGGATGCGGAGCTGACACGGGGAAATGGTGGTGGCTTTGCGAGGGGGTGAGGTGTGAATGGGGTGAACCAGTGCCGACTCTTGCGAGGGGCGTCCGGGCTTTGCCACCTCCCCGAGTCCTGATGGACGCTGAAGCCCCACGAAGATTTTCCCCCCAGCGTGGAAAACGTCTCGCTCCCAACTAAGGATTCCAGAGAGGGCAGGAACTTTCTTCAGTAAGAGGGGAAATTCCCATATAGAGGGAGTTTGGCTCCGGCTGAGGCCATCCATCACGCATGCCGGGTGCCGGGGAGGCTGCTGCGGCGGCTGGCTCGACCCCGGTGCGGGGCAGCAAACCGCGGTGCTGTGGTTCTGCTCCGGTGACAGCCCCGGGTGCCTTTGGGGAGCACAGTGACAGCTGCTGCCCCGATGGGGATGGAAATGTCTGCCCCCGGCCTGGCTGAGAGCCCCACCAGCAGCTGATCTGCTAATGGGGAGGGGGGCAGCCCCCCGGGATGCTGAGGAGTGCGGTTGAGCCCCTTCACCTGTGGCCACGGCACTCGGTGAGCAGCGGTGCGTAAAGTTCCCTGTGGCAGGGGACAAGGCCATCCCCGGATAACGGAGGATTTGGGTACTGATCACCTCCAAAACTCAGATCCAGATGGTCACGGTGGTGAACAACCCAAGGAAGAGCCAAAGGGCACTGAGCAGAGTGGCACGTGGGGTACGAGGGATCAGCTGCACCCAGCTGCCTCCTCTCCATCCCACTCACCCAGCAGCAGAGTGCCCCCCCGGCACCAGAGCAGCTGGGAACCATCACCGCACCCAGCAAATCCCTTGGGAAGCAGGTCCCAGCACCCAGCCCTGCAGCAGCGCCGGATCCCCGGCCGGCACGTCACGAGCTGGCATCTGCCAGACACCGAGTCGGGAAGGGTTTGACTCACGCCTTGGCTGGCTGCCACCCCGCAAAAAACTGCTTACTAACAGCTCCGGCTGCCTCCCAGAAAGCCCCGGCGCTGCGGCTCCGACC